AAATGTAGTGCAGATCATTAAATTTTGTGGACATTTTCTATAATGAAAATCATTTATAGGGAGGTCTCTACCCTTAATACTATATGGAAAAGAATTTCAAAGAAAAATGACATCATTTGAATACAAACCATCTTTTGCACATTTGATTCATGATTTCAATACAATTTCTAAATGTTTGGCATGTCACAGTTTTCCAAAAGCATCATCATCAGGACTTTGTCGTACATGTAATTTTTATCTAAAACATAATATGTATAATAGATTTCCTGATAAGTCTTTCCAATTACCAGATCAATCCTCTCTTAATTCATCATCATCTCATACTCCTCCTTCACCAACAAGTTTGATTATGTCACTGATCACTGAATTTTTTAAGTATGCAGCATATAGAGAATGTCAAAGAGAAAGTATATTTTCTTTTGTACAAGGCAAGGACACAATGGTTTTGTTACCAACAGGTGGAGGAAAAACTTTATGCTACTCTGCCTCTGCTTTATTATGTGAAGGCCTTACAGTAGTTTTCAGTCCTTTGAAAGCACTCATAGATGATCAAGTGGTATGGTAATTTTTATTAAATCTGTTCTAAAAAAGATTACTAATAAATATAATTGCCTTTTAGATTGAAGTCACTAAAATGGGTATTCCTTGTGCTGGTCTTTATACTTCAAATGGACAATCAGCATCTTATCAAAAAAAAAGTATTTGAAGAACTATCATCTGGTTTTACCAAAATTCTTTTTGTAACTCCTGAAAAGTTTGATAAAAATATTGGATTTCAGAAAATGCTGTGTAGAATCTATGAAAAATTTGGTTTACGTTTTGTAATTGATGAAGCTCATTGTATTAAAGAATATAAACATTTTAGGTTTGTTTCTATATTTTTAAGTTGTATTTTATTTTTTTAAAATAATAAATTTTTTTTGATTTTACAGACCATCATGGAATAATTTGGGAAAGTTGAGAAATATGTTTCAAGAAGCACCCATAATGATGTTGACAGCTACTTGTTCCAAAGAAGATGCAAACATAATTATTAACTCCCTTAATATAAAACCAGAAAATCTTAATATTATAAGAAGCTCTTCTTTTTCATGCCCAGAAATTAAAATAGAAGTCTGTTCAAAAGGAGCTAAGGAAAAGATTATTGGTGATATAGTTAAACTAATTGACGAAATCCAAGAAGGAAAAATTATTATATATTGTGCGACTGTTAAAAATTGTGAAGAGATGTTAGAACAATTGAATAGTAGAATTGACACTAAATATAATATTGATACTTATCATGGAGAATTAGACAGTTTGCAAAAATCCCAAACAATTCAAAAGTGGAAAAATGGCCAAATTCAACTTATGATTGCAACAAATGCTTTTGGAATGGGAATAAATACACCTGACATTAGACTTGTAATTCATAACACCTTTCCTCTGAGCATTGGTAATTAAAAATTATTTGGAAACATATATTTGAATAAAATCATTAATAATTTATCAATAATTATTTTCAAATAGGAAACTTGATACAAGAAATTGGTCATGCAGGAAGAGATAAAATTCAATCAAAAAGTGTTTTGTTTTTCTCAAGGAATGATATACGATCTGTATACTCTATTGTTACTGGAGGAAGAGAAAGGTGATATTTATTCAATTTTTTATAAAAATTATATATAATTAATTAAGCCAACCTTATATATTTTTGTAGTTCTATTCAAAATCAACAAAATATGGAGGAAATAAATGTCAGTAACTTCTATCCCAATTTTGATGAATCCAGAGAAACAAATCATATTAACTATTTGCTAAATAAGCAAAAAGAAATATTTAAAATGATCTATTATTGTGAAGAGCATTATACCTGTTGCCAAATGATGCTATATAGTTATTACTCATGGCCAAATGATCAACCACTTCCTCTATGTAAAATATGTGACAACTGCATCAGACATGCTAAAAAAAAACCTATTTTATATGATATTAGCATTGATGTAGTGAGGATGATAAAGGTTGTAGATGCAGTAATTAATCATTTGAAGAGAAAAGAAAAAGAGGCTACAAGAGATGATATCATAAATGTATTTTGTCAAGCAAGAAACAAAAATGTAAATGAAAAAGGCTTTTCAGAATTGGAAATATATAAATTAGCATATAATAGGGTTGTAAAACGACAACAGGATGCTTTTCACCTACTTGACAGGCTCATTATTGATGGTCTTGTTTTAAGTGACATTGTTTTGTATAAATCACCTAATCTTTCTAATTTCCATTGCAATATAGTAATAATTGGTTTAAAAGAAAGTGCAATATCAGAAGCAACATCTAAAAAATGGGAAATTCTTTTATATTAGCAATGGCCAATGAAATTTAATTATTAATTTTTAATTTTAGTGATCGACAACAAAAAAAATTATCCACCACATCATAGTAAAATTCGTGTTACCTACACTCTACCCTTAACAAAGAAATCAAAGTTTTTTTTTGCCCTTCTTGGTTTGGATGAAACATGTTTAATATTGTACAAGAAAAACAAAAGTTTGTAATATCAAAATAAACTACTTTTTTATTATTTGTGATGCAATCAATATGAAATACAAAATAAAACAACATATATAATTAAAATCAATATATAATTCTGTTAACATACAATTTCTTCTTGTATCTATCAGTACTTGTTAACATTATCACCTTGCAAATAAAGTG